GCTTTAGTATTTCCTTTAACACAAATTGGAAATACATCTCATAACACAATTAAAATATATAATCCAAGCATCAATCCTTTAATAATACAATTAGTTATGGATTGGAATTATCCACAAGGAACGAGACTTTATCATTCATTACCTGCTAAGTATGTACTTTTTGAATAAAAAGAAAATGTATAAAATATAAGATATTAATATATAATATATATCGTATCTATATTATATACTTTTATATATAGGTTTAAATTCACATGTGTAGAATGTGGATCTACAATTGCAGAAGAATTCAAACTAGAAGAAAGTATAGCAGATAAAGAAAGATTTGAAAGAGAATGGGATATAACAATAGCATCACAATCAATTCCTTTATATTTAAAACCTTCTGAATCAAGAACTATTCAAATATCATATACACCTTTTTCAGCATCTTTATCATCTGCACTTTTATATATTAGGTAAATTTTATTTATATATAAATAATTATTTCAATTATTTTGTTGAATTCATAAAATTGAAAAAATGAATAATAAATTTTTTTCGTTTCCAATAATTGTAGAAATAACATGACTATCTTGGAAGTATTGCGTGTTATGGGACAAGGAGCAAATGCACAATTTAGATTTGGAAATCGAAAACCAGGTTCTACTACACCTTTATTATTCGAACTTGCGGATAAACATCTTAAAGATTGTGAACGTATGTACGTTTCTTCGCCCTCATTCTATCGATTAAGCAGAATGGAAAATGGGAGCATTTTATCAAAATTATTTACTTAATAAATTATCAATCCAAATATATCAAATAATGTTTGGAAAAAATTATTTAATGATGAATTTTTTTCTAAATAATAGGAGAACGATTTAAACGAAATTCGGCTCCAAATCTGACAGTAAAGAGATCTTTTATGGCAAGAAATACAGGAGAACTTCCTATAGAAGTTTACGATTTTTATATTAATGGTTTACGTTGCGAAGGATATGGTTTCAAGGTATTGAATTGCATGCCATTTAAATTGAATCCAAATGCCACAAAAAAAGTGGAAATAGCATTTACGCCAGATTTCACTTTGTCACGTATCGAAAGAAAACTTTTGATATCTACAAGTTTAGGCTCTGATAGTGATATCGAAGATGGTATAGTAATACTTAATTTACTTGCTACACTTCCTCCACATTCTTTGGAAGTTTGCACAGCTGTACTTGCAAGACCCTCATGGGAATATGCAGTACAATGGGCAGCTATAAGTCTTTCATCAATATTATTAATATGTGTTCTCGCAATTTCGTTTCTTGAAGCGGATCGAATATTACGGGGAGCTTTAGCTAGCTTTTCAAGAGAAAGTTCAGTTCAACCACCACTAGATTTAAGACTGTTATCACATATGCCTTTACATTCAACGCAAGATTCAATTTCTTTAAAAGAGAAATTAATAAACGAAGAAAAGCAAAAAATAATGAAAAGAGAGGAATATCCAGATTGGGCATTGATGAATGTAAAAAAATATAAGGATAAAGATAATGTACAAAAAGGATTAAAAATTCCTGATTGGTCTGCAGATGAGGAACGCAGATTTAAGTTGGATACCGAGACGAAAGATATATTGTCTTTTAAACGATGCGAAGAGTCAACATTAGATAATAGTAACGTTATAAGCAATATTACATTTGGTGCCAAGAAAAGAAATAATAAAAAGCAAAATAATGTACAAGAAGTTCAAACAGATAATTGTGTCGCAGAAAATATGTTTTCAGATATTCAAGGAACTCAAGAAAAAAAATATACTATAAATACATTTACGAAAACAAGTCCTGTAACGAATAGGAAAGGAAAGTCTAATCAAACAATAAATATTAAAACAGAAACGAAGTTGGTTGATCATGAAGTTCAAGTTGATACTACAGGACTTCTTAATAATACTCGAAATAATAAATTAGATAATAAAAAAAAACAAACTACCGTTGGAAATAGCAATAATGGTCATGTATCCTTCAAAAAATTTGAGTCAAATAGCAATCAAAGGAACATTCATCTTTCTGAAGAAGAAACATCATCTACAACAACGGAAAGTTCTGTTCAAGATGATTCTCCCTTATGTAAGGTAAGAATATTGTTTAAATTGTATGTAAATTAATATATATTTGTTTTATGAATTATAAAATATTTTTATGATAAAAAATATTATTTATTACAGAATTTTGATCAATCTTGTGGAAAATCTGATAAATTACAAAGAAAAAGTAATGTAACTAAAAAGACTAAGCCCCAATCAATTACTTCTGTGCCATGTGTAGATTATAGAGATAATTATGAAGGTGATTGTGATGATGATGAATATGATAAAGAAAGACATAATAATCCAAATAGATGGAAAACAAATACAAGATCTACTATGAAACATCATATTCATGCAACACGTACGGTTGAGTCATCTTTCAAATTACCTCGGCAAAATAAAAATCCTCCTAGAAAAGATAAAGGATCTCAGAAACGTCGGGGCATTGATAAGGGACATATAAAAAGTATATAAAATCTCTTATATAAACATAAGATAATAAACTAACAAATTATTGTCAATAAATTAACAAAGACATTCATATAACTTTTAATAGAATTAATTATTTTATTTTATTTTATTTTATTATAGCAACAACATTAAATGGAAATGTTAATCAAAAAGAAGATTCAATGCGTACGCTAGGAGCAATTTCTACTCCATTGCCACCACCACCATCATGTTGGGGTGAAAATCGAGCTAGATTTAGCGATGTCGTAGCACGAAATCAAGAAAATATTTCGCCGTTTTCGAATTTAAATAAGTTACATAAAACTCAAACCACGCATAATATACCAATGGTTTTCAATAATGACACCAAAGATTTAGATTATACAAAACAGCAATCGAGTCAAGAATTAATATCGAGAACGAAGGAATATAGAATGATATCAAAATCTCCATCTCTTTGTATTCAATCTGTTGAAAAAGAAAAGCTATTCAGTCAGGATTCATTGAAGATACAAAATAATTCGCAACATTCAAATAGTTATTTCATAAATGCCTTTACAGAACCACCGGCAAGTTAAAAAATAATTGAATTCATTGTTATATAATATTGATATTAAGTTATAATTTGAACTTTCTTTTTTCAGTTTGAACGAGAATTGATTCCATATGATGATCTTCCAGAAACTGATGAACCATTAATGGAATTAGAAAGTCCGGAAGAAGATACAAGATGTCAGTTATGGGAAGACAATAATCCTATGCTTAAATTATTGTCTGATAGTACAAGTGGATTTCAATTGGAATCATCAAAATCTTCAGAAAAACCTCCAATGTTAACAGATACATTAAAAGGTGAAAAATATATACATAAGAATTCGAATTAATTTAAATAAAATATTATAATTAATTTATAAATCTATATATTATATCAAATAAATTTTTTTTATAAAATATTACATAATCATAGTAATATATTTTTCTAATTTAAAATAAACAAATTATTATAAATTTATATTTACAGATAATTGGGTAACAGTTGAAACAAATTGGGAACCCTTATATACTAGAGCAGCAGTAGGAGAAGAAAGAAGCGGTGTTTGGGGAATAAATACAGGAGGTGTATGGGCTGCTGGTCCATGGGGTGCAGCTACGCCGCCTATAGTTTCACAATTATCTTCATTACAAACAGAAACAGATACACAAGTAAAAAAATAATAATTTTTTATATATTTATCTTGGTTTCATTATATTCATAATTTTAAAATAATTTTATTTAAAATATTTTATTTTTTACATTTTTATTATATATATTTATTATGAAATTTATATTTTATAATTATTTTATATCTTATTTATTATTTTAGGAAAGATCAGGTTTCGATCCATTTCGTTCACTCAGTACAATATGGACGCCATCATCTTCAGAGTCTTGGAAAAAAAAACACGAAGACTAATCTCGTTTCCAAAAATTTTCGATATTGTATCTTGTGATATCTAGACCTGGTTAAAGCAATTTTTTTCTAATATGGAAAGTAATAATGTATTTATTAGCAACACCTTTCGTGATCGATAACGCTTAAACTACCAGCTGGTTTTTGTTATTATTCATATTTTTGCGTATTTGTGATATGTTGTTGAATAGTACCTCGCATAATAATATGAATAAGTTTGGACAAAAAAATTGTTTTGTACTCGTTAAATTTTTATGTTATCATTTATTGACTTATGTTATTATTGATATTTTAGCATGGTACGTTGAATCATTATTAATTTGAAATCACAAGTTTTTTTTATGATTCCTAGTTAGAATGACCAACTAAAATCTGAATTGGAAGTAATAAATGAAACATAGAATAATCAAAAAAATGAATTTTTAAAAGCAAAAATGTTTCTAGTTTATGAATTTTGTCTTTTGATTATTTGTTTTTTTTTTTATATTTTCTACATAATATAAATGAAAAATAATCACAATACTCAAAGAATGTTGGTCTTGATGTTACATAAAAAGAGGTAATAATTAAGTTATTTGGAACGAGTGAGAACTGTGATTTTTATAGTCTTGACTTGTAGAAATTTCTTTGGTAAGTTTTCAAAACATTTTACAAAGTTGTGATGTATACAAAACAAAATAAAAATGTGTACCTACTCTTCAAGACTGGTAATTGCTGTGTTTTAATAATTTGAATTTTGTATTCATAAATAATGTTTTAAAAAAGTGACTTATAATATTTAATAATTTTTAATAGTAATTTAAAAATTTAGTTATTAATTTTATTAAGCTTTAATGATAATAGAAATGTTATGTTTGAATAAAACAATAATTTAATAAAATTAATTTTATTACAAAAATAGTATAATATACATTTATGAAATTTTATACATTTTTTTTACAATAACAAATAATGACTACTTGGAATTTTATATTATGTGTTCAAAAAACCACAATTATGATATTTGCATTACAGATATTTAATATATAACATAATTTATTATAAACTTTCTATCAATATAAAATGCATAAAATTATAATTATGTGTTATAGATTATAAGATTGTTTGTCTACAACCAGGTTTTGTCATATTATTCATAACTCGTGATTTAGTTTGTTGTATCCTTTGAAGCAATAACTGTAAATGTAAATATTCAATGTCATTCATTTATAATAAGCCTGTAGTCAAGTTATTTATAAAAATTTATGTTTTATTTCAATTTAAATATTTATACATACTATATTTTCATTTTCTATTTTCTTTTGTAATTTCTTTCTATTTATTGCAGAACTACTTATTCTTGATGGTGGGATATTTTCATAAAATACTTTTTCTTTTGGTTTCTGTTGTGCCATTATCTTTCTTAATAGAATTTGATTCTCCCATTCGATTTTTCGTATTTCTTCATCTGTAAAACTCATATTTTTTCTTCTATTTTTTATTTGTTTGATTCCTATGGAATTATCTTCAGATATTGAACTTCTACCAATAGAATTTATAATTTCATTGTTTTGCGTTATATTTTCAGATTTTTCCTGTTCGTTTTTAATTTCCTCGTGACTAAATTTGCGCGTACTAATTTGAGGATGAGGAGAAAAATTAGAATCATTAAGTGATCTTAATGTACCATTAGTTTCTTCAGATTCATCACAAGATTCATCAGAACAGAATGAATCATTACTATAAATAGAATCTTCATCTATAGTATCTGCAGTATCTTTTAATTGATCTGCAGCTAGTTCAATATCTTTTGGAGTTTTTAATTCTAAATCACAAGCATTTTCTTCATCCGTTTCTTCTTCATCCACCTCATGTATACTGGGCACATGATTGAAACTGTCTTTCATTTCAGAAAACTTTTCATGAACTATTTCATCTGTCAATGTTAATGTATATTGACACCTACAATCAGGCTGAGTATCTTTTAAACATGACATGAGAATAAATGTTAATAAAATATTTTGTAAAAAAAGATGAAACTATTAATAGTACAAAATTAATCCGAGAATATTTTCAGGTTAAGAAATAAGTGTAATATGTTTCAATAACCATGGTAACCAAATAACAAAACAAAATAATCTTCTCTAGTTATCAAATATAAGCTGGCTATATATTGCTATGATGTTTATAAATTAAGATACGATTAAGATATATTTTTTTTATTATAATTTTATATCTACATTTCTTTTATTATGATAATCAACTTCAATTAAAACATATTTAATTAATAATATTAAATGCAGAATCATATAATTTTCAACATTCATTTTATAATTTTTATTTAAATACTATATATAAGATTTCCTTGATTTTTTCATTAAAAAATTTTACTTATTTTTATATATTATTTTACAAAATATATAATTATTATAATATTTTAATGTATTTAAAAGAGAATACAGGTACAAAGATCAAAATGAATTTTTTTTGTTTTTCGTAATAATATATTTTAATATAAAAGTCTAAAAATAATATTTTAATCATTAGCAAATCCAAATACTTTTAGACTACCAGCATCACGTTTTCGATCATAAGTATCTTTATCATCACATGCATATGCTAACAAATATTGTTTTGGATGCCATGCAACTGTAAAAGTTGCTGCCTCTACTGGTATATCTGTAATTTTTTCTCCAGTTTCAACTTCACCTATATCTATTACAAGATCTTCAGATGCTGCAGCTAATAATTGTCCATTATAAGAAAATGATATAGTTCTCACTGGCCATTCTAATCTTGAAAATGTTCTTAAACAACACAATTCATCTGCATCCCATAAAGAAACTAATGCATCTGCTGAACCAGTTGCAAAATATCTTCCAGTAGGATCAAATTCTATACAAATACATGTTCCTGGATGTGCTTTAATTACATGTAATAATTCTAAATCTGGATAACTTAAAATATGTACACAGCCTTGACCATTAGTTAAATAAAATGTATCAGAATCTTTATTCCATGAAATTTCATTCACTTCAAAATTGAACTGTTCTTCTGCACGAATTTTCATTACTCGTGCATCAATAAAAGTCACCAAATCTTCTTTGTTTCCTACAGCTATTGTATTACCATCAGGTGACCATGATATATTGATATTTTCACCTCTTGTACTGATATTTGCTGTACATTTTTGAGTTCTTGTATCCCATATACGAACTGTTTTATCTCCACTTGCAGTAGACAATAATTCTGGATAAAAGGCATGCCAGCATAGTTGATCTACACTACCACCATGTCCTCTGAAAGTTGTTTCTTGTTTCTATAATAAAGTATATTAAAGATTAAAATCAAAGTTTTAATAAATAATTTAAAAATTTTTTAATTTTATAATAATCAAATTCAAAACATAAAAAATCAATAGTAATGTGTAATGCAATTAAAAAATAAGATATTTGTATAAAAATAATCATAAATAATTTAAAATATTCTACAAAACTTAATTATGATTTCATTATGATTAAATGATGTGATGATTAAATATATATATATATATAAATAAAATAAAAAATAAATATTTATAAAAATTAAATTTCGAAGAATTGAAATTATATTGAATAATAGAAAAGAGGTTATGTTTACTTACTAGACGATCTGGGCAAAGAGAAAAAATGCAAACAGATTTATCAAAAGATCCTGAAGCCAAAAGTTTTCCATCACAACTCCATCCTACACTATGTACTTTCGCAGAATGACTTTGTTGTTCTCTAATTTTATTATGTGATTTAAAATAATTTATCAGTTCATCAACACGAGAAGTGGACATTGTTGTTTTCATTAACTATCAGTTAAGTTATCTACAATTTTTTTATTATTCTTTTTTTGCGACAAATTATCAATAATTTAAATGAAAAACAAATGACATGAAGATATTTATATAATTGTTAAAATATATTAAAATAATTATTTACATGTTTTATTTTAACCATAGATAAAGTATCAGATAGATTTAATAATCATGTATTTTTATAACATAATTTAGAAATTTATAAATATCTTAATATTGATAATTGATTAGTTTTGAATTATTACTGTTTTATAAAATAAAATTATAAATAAAAAAGATTATATAAAATAATAGAAAATAATAGAAATTATTGGAATTAAAAGAACATATATAATTTAAAATTATTTAAACATTTAAAAAAGCATAAGTGCTCAGAAAATAATTTTTATTACAAATTTTTTTTATTAGTATCGTAATTTGAATTTGTACTATAAATTAATAAGAATATGATAATTAAAAAATTTATATTAAATAATATCTACTAGATGTCATTTATACATATTTTATAAAAATGACTTACTAACAGATGGCGCGAATATTTTCATATTTCAGAATTTTAATTGCAAATCAAGAAAATCTAACAAATTATATTATCAATGAATTTTAAATGAAAATTAACTTCATAAATACTTTAAAAAACGGGACGGTAACGTCCTCTTAAGAATGATCGATATGTAAGGAATTTATTCATCAAAATTGCAATTGTATTTGTATTACAACGAAGATGCGAATGTTCATACGTGATATACTTATAAAACATCACCTGATCCGATTATTCCTATCGCCTGATTAATATATTTGATAAACTGTTTACCGCGGTAAGTTTATGACCAGTTCAAGAACAATGTCGACATCGTTAATAGTATTTTAAGAATTGGGACGTGATAATGATCACACGAATTATCCAGATTATTTCAAACCGAAATAACGAGTATTTTAGCAAAATTAATGCTTTTTTATCTCAAATAAATTTCTACTGCCAGTAGTTAAAATTCAACGTTTAAAAACGTTTAAAAATTAATGATTTATAATGCCACGCAGTCGTTTGGATGCTGTTTATAGAAGTATTCTTCTCACTAAATTTTTTACGAAAGGCTGGGGTAGTCCTCAAAATTTGAAAAGGTAAGAATATTCTTGATGAAAGTAATAACTTTGATTTTATTTAATATAAATTTAAATATTTGATTCGTGTTCGAGAGTATTCGATATTAGTCTTATGATTGAAATATAAATAAATTTTATATGTGCATATATTATATTAATGTTATTATTTTATATATA